GGAGTCAATTTAATAGAGCTATGCGCTCTTTATTAATATAAAAATAAAACTGTACCCTAGCTAAACATGGCCGGCAAGCCGACCGCTTGCAGGACAAAAATGCTGACACTTACAAAAAGTGCACCATGCCGAGAACCAGGCACATAAAAACACTAGGGTGATCCAAGACCAACCAAGATTTCTAGCGACTACTAAGTTACCCCTTAATTGTGATAACTATTCCCCCCTTAGAAGTATGACCGTCCTCGGTAATCTGAAACTTTTCGACGACATGTTGTGTTTCCTGCGCCGTTCGTTTCTCCTCAACACTGTGTCTCACATCGTGCTGTACCCCCCATGTATTCCTCGAGCGCAAGTATCGTGGCTTGTCAGCTTGCAGAACGATGCGCAAGTTACTTATACGCATTTAGTGGCTGCTAGGACATCATTATTGCATTCGGTTAATACGTTGTCCTCTAGTTGTAAAATGGTATGTTGGTGCGATACGGGAAAGGTTGTTACCTTTTTACGTGTACATTTAGTTTAAGAATATATAATAGTCGATAGAACGCCTTTATTATTAGTTGCATTTGTGAGTGATCAACTTTGATCAACCTCGTTGCTTTTGCAAGAGTGACTGTGAGCATCATCATCATTATCCGATCACCAACTGTGAGCATCATCACCATTATCCGATCACCAACCATAACTTCTACCAGACGAGCATTGCCACTGCTTAACACATATAGCTCGACTCTATTCAGCCAGGCTCCAGCCAGAAAACCATTAAGCTTGGCTCAGAAATCTGCAGAGAATACAAAATATAATAAAAGCATCCCAAGACTTCCACTAATTTCATAACATAGGCCACAAGTTTAGATATAAATGTGTATATACAACAGCCCTGACCCTATTTTGTTGACATTTTCAGTTCTCAAAATACCGTTGACTGCCACCAAGATTCTCAAGGGTCTATCATTCGTCTTTTAAAAAATTAAATAAAAATTATAACAACGAAGCTTACCAAGTTATCATATCGGCCAGGAACAACATTTTAGAAAATTTTGATAAATCTTATAAGGAAGTAGATAATACAGTGCAACAAAATTTTGCTTTGTTCGTTGTGAGACCTAATGACAATTTATAATGGTAAATTAGGCATTTCTAAGCATAGATTCTCACTACACCCTACTTTCCATTAGATCTAAGATATTTAAGTAAAACACGTTTCATGTTTTTTGTTTGAGTATGTGTTAAAGCAAGGTCAACCAATTTTTGGTAATTAAAAAGTCTCATTGGTCTTCTTCATGGTTATCTTTGATTTGCATTTTCAATTTTAAACTCACGGCAAATATAATTCCGCATTGAAGCGCACGAAGTTCTTGCATTTTTAGTCTTTAGCAAAATATGAATTCTTGATATATCCCGGCGGAAAACACAACATATCACTTCTTTGCAAGAATTCAGTGGAAGCCAGTGATCACTACGGGCCTATATTGAGGACGTGGGTACTTTCTTTAGGGGCTAGTTGCACAGATTGACTACAAATCGCATTGGGAGGTGTCCGCTGGCCGTTTATACCGGATTGCTGGTTCTGCCGACTTACGTCGCGAACACTTGCTCTCCTCAACAGAAGCTGCCCGCTCTCCGTCGAGTTGTTCGATTTCGTCAAATTTATATGTTCTCAGGGAGAGCCTCAGATCTGGTGTGCGGTTATCCTTGATAAACCAGTATCAAACTGGTTTTGTTACTTTCTGCTCGCTTGGAATATCGTGCGGCCAGCTCAAAAGATGTACATATAAACGTGACCGCCCAATTGAATAGTAAGAACGCACAGTTCAAGTATACACAAGGAACTTTATTCGCCGACTTGACCCTTAGCCTGGGAATGATAGTAACAAGTGTGTAACTCTATAGCCTTCTTTGCCGGCCCCGTCTGAGCACTCTCCTTCCCACGATTATGCTCCGGGTGGCTCCGGAGTTGATTAACTCGCTTCGGGATGACTCTGCTGCTTCGGGTTCTTCTCAGGTTGCTCGTGGTGGCTTCTACTGCCGTTGGCTCGGCGGCTATCAGGGCCGAGGGATGCTTCACCCTTCCCAGACAAGGGTGAACAGGCACTGTGCTCTCAAGGCGTACGCTTTTCGCAGATGCAGCCTCCTGTCCCTTGCTCTGTCCCGGCCGGTCGCACCGAACGCCTGCTAAGTTCTTACGTGACGGTTAAGGCGTACGTCGGAAGTCGCCAACGTAGTCCCTGAGACAAACGCCAGGTTCTAGACGAACGCTTCCACCCTTGCCTTTTTGACGCGGACTTATAGACTTGCAGTTATCGATGTCCTCGCTCTGCTCCCTGGTACGATGTCCTAGCTCTGCTCCTTGCTTTCTCCTGCACGACCAGACGCAGCAGGGTCTTTGGCTCTCGGAATTCGGTCGGCTGCCTTTCAGGGACTATAGCGGTGCTGTGCTTTCAATGCATACGCCTTTCTAGGAACCAACCGATCTAATGCGCGTCCTTTCGGATTAGTCGCACCAGGACCTGTACAACTCTCGCAGGACTGCGCCTATACGATCATTGTAGCATGGCGGCTAGTTCTAGACAACTTCCCTTCCGAGCCCACGGATCCTTGTCGAAGGACTCTTTTTGTGTAACTCTGCCTTTTCAATTTGTTTTTTCAGTGTTCGGGATAATTCGTTTAAGAGCGTTTTTTGATGTCGTAGGTAGGTCTTCTGGGTTATTTAAGATTTTCTTTACTATTGTAAATGTATTTTGATTTCCCCTAAAAATTTTAATAATGTTCGTCAAATTTTTATTGTCTGCTAGCCGAGAGAATAAGATATACTTTTGTTTCGATTTGGGCATTAAAACCTCGAAAGCGTTCCGAGGTCTTGAGCACTTTTCATAATGAGATTTAAACTTACTTATTTCCAAAACGTTGGCACGTAAATAACAAGCAATTGCTGTTTTTATTTTATTTTTTTTTATTATGTTTATAAATAAATATTTATATTTATTAAAATTGTTAGTAGTTTGTTTACAACGATACAAATAGCACGAACTTTAACATGCGATAATTCTAATCGGCCGATCTGTATTGCATTTCACTTAGAGGTTTAACATCTGAACTATATAGATGTCGTTCTTCCCCGTTGTCCCTCACCTCTGTCCTAATGGAGGGGGGAATGACGACACATTCTGACGTGGTCGGCCGGTTATCTTAGTGAGAGATGTGTGTGTTCGGACAACTTTTTCTCCGAGTAACGTGCTGGCCGCCCGAGTTGGTGGGCTCAGCGCCTTTTCTGGATTGTGGAGAATACGATGGGCGAACTTCTCTCCGTTATTAACGGCTCTTGAGGCTCAATAAGGAGTCAATTTAATAGAGCTATGCGCTCTTTATTAATATAAAAATAAAACTGTACCCTAGCTATACATGGCCGGCAAGCCGACCGCTTGCAGGACAAAAATAATGACACTTACAAAAAGTGCACCATGCCGAGAACCAGGCACATAAAAACACTAGGGTGATCCAAGACCAACCAAGATTTCTAGCGACTACTAAGTTACCCCTTAATTGTGATAACTATTCCCCCTTAGAAGTATGACCGTCCTCGGTAATCTGAAACTTTTCGACGACATGTTGTGTTTCCTGCGCCGTTCGTTTCTCCTCAACACTGTGTCTCACATCGTGCTGTACCCCCCGCATGTATTCCTCGAGCGCAAGTATCGCGGCTTGCCAGCTTGCAGAACGATGCGCAAGTTACTTATACGCATTTAGTGGCTGCTAGGACATAATTATTGCATTCGGTTAAAACGTTGTCCTCTAGTTGTAAAATGGTATGTTGGTGCGATACGGGAAAGATTGTTACCTTTTTACGTGTACATTTAGTTTAAGAATATGCAATTAGCACATGGATGATATAGTCGATAGAAGGCCTTTATTATTAGTTGCATTTGTGAGTAATCAACTTTGATCAACTTCGTTGCTTTAGCAAGTGTGACAGTGAGCATCATCATCATTATCCGATCAACAACTGTGAGCATCATCACCATCATCCGATCACCAACCATAACTTCTACCAGACGTACAAGTACGCTTTGCTCGTTTCGAGCATTGCCACTGCTTAACACATATAGCTCGACTTGATTCAGCCAGGCTCCAGCCAGAAAACCATTAAGACTGGCTCAGAAATCTGCAGAGAATACAAAATATAAGAAAAGCATCCCAAAGCCTCCACTAATTTCATAACATAGGCCACAATTTGAAATATAAATGTGAATATACAACTACCCTGACCTTTTATTTTGTTCACATTTTCAGTTCTCAAAATACCGCTGAACGCCACCAAGATTCTCAAGGGTCTATCATTCGTCTTTAAAAAATTTAAATAAAAATTATTATAACGAAGCTTACCACGTTATCATATCGGCCAGGAAGAACAACCTTTTAGAGAATTTTGATAAATCTTATAAGAAACTAGATAATACAAAAGTCTCATTGGTCTTCTTCATGGTTATCTTTGATTTGCATTTTTATTTTTTTATAGCACTTCTTCTCAAGAATTCAGTGGAAGCAAGTGATCACCACGGGCCTATATTGAGGATGTGGGTACTTTCTTTTGGGGCTAGTTGCACAGATTGACTACACTTAAAAATTCTATAGTTAATCAACAACACTAGTAAGTGTTAAGGGAGCGTATAGCACAGTTCAAATGACATGGGCAGATTTTTTTTAAATTTTCTTAACATTAAAACTATATTAATAGAAATATTATATAAAACTCATTTAACTTCTTTTTTAGTTTTGTTACAACAGATTATGTCAAAAATAAAAAAAAAGTAATTAAAATACTTAACTAAAAATCTAGATTATGTGAAATTAATTTCACATCTTAATTCAATTATTATCGATAGTTATAACGTAATTATTATTAATCTTTATATTTAGGTTTTATGAAGGAAGGCGACAACAAATCACGAGTTCGATCATTCAGGCTGGGCAGGGACATTTGACTATTATTTTTATTTGTAGAATTAATCTGAATTAATCTGAATAAATTGTGTCTTTTCATTGGTTGCAGTTGCAGCTGCTTGGTTTTTTGGTCCAACCATATAAAAATTTCGCACTCGTGGTTTCTCGTGTAGAGGTTTGACCTGCGTCTGAATATCCCCTCTTTTAAATCTTTGTGCATTTGAATTTCGTTTCATAGAGTTTGGTCGAAGACTAACTGGAATCATATGTGGCTTTACCTCGAATTCCTTAGTATTAAATACTTCACAGTCCACCTGCATCAACTTAATTCCCCCATTTAGCCCGGGATTTTCTAACGGGAGTACCAAAGACATTTTTGGTCGTTCACTACTATTGTATTTCAATGCTGGCAGCAGTACGTGATCCATATTAAAGGAAAGCACATAAAAAGTATCATCTCTTCGTTTGATGACACTAATTAAATTAATTTGTTCGCGTTGATTGTGCAACTTATTATTTTTGTTTTCATCCAATTTCCTTTGTTTGTGCTGTAAATGAGAAGTTAAGTCATTAAAGTGTATTTTACGCTTTCCTCGTTTAGTATGTATTGCACTATTTAAGTCAAAGTAGTCATTTGATAATTTAAATCCGGGTGAAATTTCGCTGCCAATGGTAAAACTTGATGACTCGTTCAAACTCCCGCTAGTCCATTTATGTAAAGTTTCGGCGAGCCTAAGGTATTTAGATTGATTGGCAAAAGAGCGAGACGAGTTGCAAATGCAAGTACATTGTGGTATTGTTGAATAGGCTGAAGGTGGATGTTTATTAGATGAGTAAGTTGTAGATGACTTACTGGTATTACTTTTTGAATTAACATTTTGGTTGCGCCTGTCCCGACTTAAAAAATAAAGAGGCGGAACCATTGTTTGGTCCGAAACACGCGTACTTGAGACACGATTTTCATTATGTTTTTCCTGTGTTTCAACCCAGAGTAATCGGCGACCAGAAAGATTTAAATGTTTTACGGAACTTTCTAATACATTACTGCTTTCCTTTAAAGACGGTTTGTTAAGATATGACTGAAAATGGCCTGCATTCAAAGTTACCATAAAAGCCATGGCAAACAGTACAGCTACATTTTTCTTCAAGGTGGAAGTAGTGATTCTTCTGTTAGAGTATTTTACCTTCGATGTTATTTCAACATGGTTTTTTTTGTTTTCATTTTCATTATCAGTATCACATTTGCAAGTATTGCCAAATTTAAGTAACTGTTCGCGTAATGTTTTGTTTTCCTGAAAGATAATAAAATAAAAATTTTATAACTGTTATTATTATTATTATATTATTATTTTATAACTGTTATTTAATATAATGTGAAAAGAGTGTTCGTAAAGATAACCAACATAGTAAGAATAAGGGCAAAGTGGGACTTTTTGCAAATCCAAAAGTTGGAAAAATCCAATTTTTAGCAGTATAAAACTGGTTCGTAGTAGCAAAGAAGGCCTTGATAATGGAAAAATTAATTTTGAATGCATTTTAATCTTGGTCCTCGCAGTCTAGTGTACCGCTGATTTGACATTCGCTCTTTTTTAGCTATAAAGCAGTATAAAACTGCCTTCGTAGTAGCAAAGAAGGCCTTGATAATGGAAAAATTAATTTTTAATGCATTTTAATCTTGGTCCTCGCAGTCTGGTGTACCGCTGATTTGACATTCGCTCTTTTTTAGCTATAAAGCAGTATAAAACTGCCTTCGTAGTAGCAAAGAAGGCCATGATAATGGAAAAATTAATTTTTAATGCATTTTAATCTTGGTCCTCGCAGTCTAGTGTACCGCTGATTTGACATTCGCTCTTTTTTAGCTATACAAATGTGTAATTAGTTTTAAATGGAGCAGCTATCAATAGACTATATTCCTCTAAATATCGCATTATATACTGCTAGCGAGCAATAAACTTTCAACAAACAAGAAACCAAAGACTGAAAACCCACAAAAAAAACTGCATTGCAAAAAAAAAAGGTTAATCAATCCGCTAATTAGGAAATGAAATGTGGTCTGATTCTTATTAATTTTATAGATAAATTAGAAATAAGTTTTTCCGTCTTCCTTTATTGACCTCAATGTTTTGGTCCAACGCTATGGCGTAATTTCCCCACTATGATTAAAATTATATTTTTTGTTCTTTAGTTTTTAAATAATTAAAAATAGCCATGGTAATTTAAATACATATATTAAAATGAAAAATGAGGTCGTAGTTGATCATCACATTAGCACTCCCTGGGAAGCGAACCCGACTCAGATAAGATTAGCTAGTTTCGTTTGCATGACACCTCAAAGTCAACGGCAACGGCATTTCTTAATTCGTGTCTAACCGCATCCAATGATATAACCAGGCTTCGTGAATCAGTACATATGTTTCGAACATAAAATTTTTACACACACAGTAAACTATTTCACCTTTGCTAAACATGTCTAATACGAAGTTTGGAGTATTTTATTTTCAAATAAAACACACGTAAAGCACGGCGTCTTTTACACATTCAAAGTATAAAACACCTTAACTTAAATGTAGATCGCGAATTCTTAACGGTGGTTCTGCCTATTCAAATAAGTAATTGGCCAACTCAGCTGCTTGTTTGATGCTTCAAATAATAATCATGTACAGAACTATTTGTTATATGTACTGAAATGTAGTGAAATGAAGTACCCGATGTTTTATATGTTGAATGTGTAAAACACGAAGTGTTTTTTTTGAAAATAAGATACTCTACACTTCTTATTAGACATGATAAGCACAGGTGAAATAGTATACTGTGTGTATCGAAAATTTCGAGTATAAAACTTATGTTTTGTACTTTGTGTGTTATTTTACAAGCAGGGCTTGTAATATAAACAATGTTCATAAAATTATTCATTCCTGGCAGTGTAGTCCCACTCGTAACGGCTATTTAAGCCCGTTACTTGTAGATTTGTATTAGTTTAAAAGTATGCAATGGCTAGAAGGAAACGGTTTTGTCCCTATAAAATAATATATTCTTGAACAGGATCAATAGCCAAATCGAAATAGTTATGTCCTTCTGTCTATCTGTCCGTATGAAGGTCGAGATGTCCTAGCAAGTCCTTTTACCGAAGTTGTCAACATACGACAGAGAAAGGACACGTGAGCGGAATAGACACGGGGATTGGAGGGCTGGTCAACAAGGCGACCATCTCCGTCTAAACGATTTGATAAAACATTCGGGAAAGATGGATTCGTGAATCTCACGCCTGACACACCATTAAAGTTGTCAACTAGGCGACTCTTTAAACCCCCCCTAACGTCCTTAACTATTCTGACAACCAGTCAGAGCTGAAGATATTAAAACATTGCCCCGACCTTAGACAGTTCAGTTTCTTTTGACAAACTTTAATTGCAACTAGGAGCGTAATCAGCATAAGCGAATAAAACAGTCCCACCGGGTCAGAAACACAGAACTAGTGAAATCACGGTATGCTGGTTTTACCCCATATTAAAGCCGATCAACCAGCCCAACCATTATCGTTGGCAAATACTAAGTTATTCAAGGAATACGCATTGGCTGATCCCAACTTTGACAAACCTGGGAAAATAGACTTGCTCATTAGCGCAGAGCACTATTATTCATTACTGTCAGCAATGCGTCTCACCCAAGGGTCCAATACTGCAAAACACGAAGCTTGGCTGGATCGTAGCAATAAAGGTAAATTCTAGCAGCAATTCTTCTACCGTTTGAGCAACAAATTCCCTACAAGAGACAAACAATTTAATTGAAAGGTTTTGGACTTTGGAAAATTTGGATACAACTAAAAAGAAAGTTTGGAAAGGCTACGTCGAGTTCATGCTCCTCAAAGAGCATTATTTCATTCCACATCACGGCGTTCAAAAACCTGACTACTTTTCGACGCATCGTGCAAGACATCAAGCGGCAAGTCTTTAAACGATGTATTGCATGCCGGCCCAACCGTTCAGGGCGACCTATTCGCGACTCTATTAGGTTAGTTAGTTACTCAGTCAAAAAAATAAATAAACGCGAGGTTTTGCGATTCGCGATGCTAATTCGCACATCGTAAACTAAATTTTTAATCAATTAATTAATTAATCTTTACGCACTAACAATAAGCAAATGAGTAAGAACGTGGATCAGCGCACTCAACGCCAAAAACAACAAGACGAAACCCGTGAAAAAGCTCAGAGAGATCAAGACAAACGTCGTCTCTCCTTGGCCCGTAACAATGCTTATTTCTCTTTCACGAGTAATACTCTAGAACCGAAAGTGCAAGAAAGTGCAAGTTTACTGACCGCCGAAAACCAGAGAGCTAGTTCTTGCTCTCCCGCC